CAGAAACAAAAACGCACTCCTACTTCTTGTGCTGCCTGATCAAAGCACTCTACAGTGACAGAAACTATTCTCAGACAAGACTGCTGATGACTGTTTTTTTTAGGTGGAGAGTTCAGGACTGATGGATTCTTTTCGATCGGTTTTCTTTTTGGCACGCTTCTCGATCGGTTTTCTCTCTGGCACGCTATGCATGCCAACATCAATTTCCCATCAAAACAAACCGGCGACTCATAGGAAGACTAGTTTTTGCCAATATACCTAATTCAATGGTTCATACTTGGGCCGCGATACATCATCCTTCAATTATGATATTTTACAGCCAAGTATGAACCACTAAATTAGTTATATTAGCAACTTGAAACATCACCTGGTAATAATAGCTTCCTGGATTTCGGTTTTAAAGTCGAAACATGAATAGGCGGACGCACGCACATAAGTATGTGGGCACAAGGCCTCGACGAAATGCATTCTGCATCACTGATTCAGTGTCTAACGAAAAAAGCAGTTTTACAACTTTGTTGAAGCTTCTTCCCAATCGGTTTTCTTTTTCTGATATGACCGCCAGTATTTGATGAACATACAGCGATCAAAATAAATGCAACAGAAAAACGGCAAGCCTCACAGTGCCGATCGAGGAGGCGCTTGGTGGAACAGCAACATCACTATAACTGCTTGTTGATGCCGGAAGCGTCCTGGACCGCAAAAGCGGCTGTCGATACAAATGACCTGTTCTATAGCCCTGAAATCAACAACAGGCAATAAGAAGGGGATGGGCCAGTTCTCCAGTAAACTTTGGTTGCATTAACATATGAAACTGACATTTCTTTGGCAAGCATGCCCTGGACAACTTACTGCATTGTCGAGAACGCGCATCCATGCCTCCCACTCCAGTTCACCAATTCCCCAGCTAATCTGCTTGCCTTCAGCGTCCTTTGCCGCACTGCGATTCACTCCTCCACCTTCAATTACAGATTCCATTTTACATATGTAATTGCTACATTTCACATTAGTTCACTCAAAATTCTCCACTCCTTGCCTGTCTCCCAATCCTCTATCAGCACTTGCTCCTCAGCTACAACAGCGATGCGAAAAGAAAGCTGCTTAGAGCGGTGAAGTTCGCCTTCGTCACCTGCATCACTCCGGCTGTAGTTCTGCAGCTCTGACGCTATTAAGCTAAACGTAAATTCCCGGTGTACCTCGGTCACGCCCTCCCATCCTAAGCTCCGGCCTGTAAGCTTTGTTCCAGTCACGCATACATGTCTCCTCTCGGAGAACGCCCCAGTATCCTTTCCCAACAGTGACTTGTGCAAACTGCAAAACAAAAAGAGCATTTGTAGAGAAATCGGAGACTACCTCCTTTTCGCGCTGTTTTGTATGCTTTTTCAACAGCTTTTTCATCGGGGATCACAAGATTTTCGATGCCTGCTCTTGCCGCACGAATCTGAAGATGAAACGAATGAAAGTGAACAGGCAGTACCGTAACACATTGATGACAGGAGCGCAGGCAAATCATATAGTATTGTGCAGTAGCGCGATCAGACCACTTCTACAGACTGTGATGAGCACGGGGAAAAAGACTGGTTACAAAAAATAAAACAATGTTTAGCACGACCAGATAGTGACGTACCCAGTTTTTGCGCGACAAAGACGTACTTAGACTGAGACTGATCCTCTCACTGCAAAAAACAAACCCTCTGCTGCCCGTTTCAATGAAAAAATAATGACATGGCGATACGAAGCCGCATTCAGATCTAGCTGAGAAATTCCCGGAAAAGAGTTATCTGCAGCTGTTAATAGTGCGCTATCGTTCATGCTAATTTTGCGCTCTTACAGACACGAACTATGAACGAGAGTTCAGCTTCTCATTTTGTAGCAAGGATTAGATTTTGCGGCTGAAGATATATTGTTTTTAGAATAAACTCGAATTTCTCAGCTGCTCAGTGCTTTACTAGTCCAATTTTTCGCCTTACCAGTACAGTACGCATTCAGTTACTGAAATTCCCCGTCAACTTCTGTACTTTTAGACTCAATTTTCCGCATTTTCTACCACACAAACGATTTTGGCGCTGCCCACCAAGCAGAAGGTAAGGAGATTAACTGTTCGCCGGGTACGCCACAGAGCCATGTGCTAAAAAGAGATAACATAACACACCAAATGAAGCATTCACCTGATTTAGGAACAAAAAA